CTTTCGTTAAATAGACCCCTGGGGGGTCTATATAGACCACTTTGGCGACCTCTGCGCTAGACGAATAGAGTTCAAAGTCAAGAGAGGGTCTCCCACTAGTCTCCATCCCTTTTTTTTGAAATACTTTTATTTTTGAAGTTTCCAAACATAGCTTCTCAAAACCTAATGTAATGATCTTTTTTCCACATTTCTAAATAGAATTTTCCATTTTTTTAAAACCTTTTTTAATTTTATAAATTGCATGCTTTTTTAGAAAATCTGCAAAGTGGAACAAAGAATATAACTATTTCTAAGTTATAAATCAGATTTGGAACTTTAATGAATAAAACGAGACCCACAACAATCTCAGAGTTAAAAAAAATAAAGTCGAAACTGATGAGTACCATGTGACGGTCGGCTTTGGATTTCCAACTACGGTGCACGTGAACTGAGCATTTTTGTTTTCGTGGCACAAAACATTCTTCAAAGGTGTTGTGAATTCCGGTGGGACTGGAGCTGCAAAGAGAAATAAATAAATCACTCTTTAAGAAGGCACCATTATTCAGTGACGACACGTGTGAACGATCATTTTACCATTGGGGTCGACCATCTTGACTGGACGTTCGGTGAGGGCGGGGGGACTCGAACCCGCTTCGTTGTAAGCAAACACTCGGAATTCGTACTGACGATCCTCTATCAGATTGATGATGTTGATCTGTGTGGTGTGGCAGGGAGAGAGATTCACTTTCTGCCAAGTATTGGTGCCCGTCTCCTGCTTCTCTATCCAGTACCCCAGTACTCTAGAATCCTCTGGCTTCGTCCACGAAAGATTGACGAAATCACCCCCCACTTCCGTCACTTTGGGAGTGCCGGGGGCACCGGGAGGATCTAAGAATTCAAATAATAGAACACGTTATAAAATTCTCATGAAGAACAGAACAAAACACAAAGAGACCATTAAATATTACCGAAGGGCAGTTTGGCAATGATGGGGTTGATTCCTTCAAGAGGAGGACTATGGCCATTTTCATTGACCGCCATCACGCGGAAGAGATACTCGCTGTTTTCTGTCAGACCCTGAACTGTAAATGTTGTGTCCTGCGAAGAGCATTCATTATTATTAAAGGTATGTCATGTGCAGCAGATAATTATTCATTATTATTTACGATAAGGTATCATTATATTACGATAAGGGAATGATGATATTAGCAACGATTTTTTCTGTTGTTGTTAATTTACGTTACACTAGAGCTGCTCAATGAGCCATTGGCGACGGTCTGGGAAACATCCCGGAGGATGATCCGAAGACATGCCATCACAATTTNGAGGGGATGGCACCCCCGCTTCGGTAGCACATGCGCGCGAAGTCGAGCACTTTACGGTAGCACAGTTTAACGAGAACCAATACCGCACACCCTCGGTCCCTACGCAGACTGATCCAAGTGGTCACCCACCCGCACACTGACCGTAGCCAGTGATGCTTGACTTCGGTGATCTGCTGGGAACCGTGTCCTAACGATCAGTCCACTGCGGGACAGCAGCGATTAATAACTACGATTTTTAGTAAACACATCAAACGGTTATTATTGCAGGGGGCGTAGCCAAATCTTTCTACGAAAAATAAGCACCTTTAAGTACTTTTTAAGAACTCTATACTTTAAGAAAAGCAAAATAATAAGACTAATAAGACATGATCATGATTAGATAACTAGTTTCTGACAAAGAACTCTTTT